AAAGAGCAAGTGAGTAATCTGTGGACACCTTTCTCCTGTCAGCCACCATTTTTGTTCGACTTTCGTGTGAGTTGGGGAATTTGTCGTGCTGTCAGGGGAAATTCTGAGAACACGTAACGCCAGAGTTGTTTTCGACGTGATCACTCATCTGCACGTGTCTGTCGTCGCGCTGTAACAACTATCTGGTTGGTTATCACGCGGTTAAGCAGAGCTTTTACATGATCCTCTGAACATTTGAAACCAGCTAGCTGATTATACTCTGTAAAAGAATAGTGAGAAGAAATGTTTAAACGACGTATAGTTTTTAAAACATTATGACCGGCTGTTGGGATTTTAAATAGGCACAACCTAAAAAAGCTTCTTTTTTTTCTCCTGTTTTGGGGAAGTCTCATTTTTGCTTGTTAATCTGGAATCTTTTTTAGTTTCCACACATTCTATAAATACTCAGAAAGAAGGAAGAATAGGTTTGGGTAAATAGTCGGGTAAAAGGTCTATAAAGCACTGTAATCCGTAATAGTAGCCCAGTAAGAAGACCGCTGGTCTCCTCTCAGCCGTTCTTTTGGAGCGGACCCAGGACACGCTGGAGAGTCTCACGGCTGGCCGGGAACACCTTAGGATCCATGTGGCTGGGGAGAGGGAAGTCTGGGCCTCCCTGCTTAGACTACTGCCCCCGCGACCCGACCCCGATAAGCGGCTGAAAATGGATGGATAGGATGGATAGATAGAAGGATGGACTCCCTCAGCTGACGTCACTTGGTTTAGCAAAAAAAAAAAAAAAATAAAAAATAAAAAATTCTCACAAAAATGACTCTAAAATCCCAAATAATTTATATATGTGTAAAAAAGTTTTAAAAACGAATTTCTGTCGTGTTTCTCTAAACATTGGTTCATGGGAGTCTCTAACTTGCAGTTTGCTCTTTAAATCCCAATTAGACACAGTCCTGTGCTCCGATCTGTCGATCGATAATTTTAAATAGATTTCCCAATCAATCTAATTATTTAATCCTTATAATTTCACTAAACGTAGAAACACAAAATGAGACGTTTTAATGTTTGTTTTTGAAAAACAAGTTTCTCTTGAAACCCGTCTCCAACCCTTGCAGGTCAGAGGTCATTTGGATCAATCCCGGAATACGACACAAGCTTGACTTCCTCACCAGGAAAGAACAGAAAACCAGAAACTCCACTAGCCGACTGTTTTCGCTGCTGGTGTTAAACTACGTGTGTTGAGGTGATTATGAAGTCTAAAAGTTTCTACTTCTGCCTCGTGACTGGAAATAAAAAATCCGGTAAATAATTATGAGATAAATGGATCCATTTTCTGTAAAAGTGACCTAAACCGTTCAGTTCGGTCACTCCTGAGTCACACGGATTATTCACACCACTTCCACGCAGACAGCCAGGCCTGCTACGTAACGACATGAAAACTATCTCTTGCACAAAAAAAAAGGTTTGTTAGTTTAAAGCAGTTGTTTCATTTCTCTCATTAAACAGGACTGCTTGTGAACAAAACCTCTGATGACTTAGATTTTTAATTTGAGCAGACCGAGCTGGGGCAGTGGCGTGTCCAGATCTTTTAAAATGGGGGGGCCCAGGTGAGGCACAACTTTGTGCATGGGTGGCACCAATGGTTATGCTTTTTTTGTTTTACCCCCAAGCCTTTTGTGGACAATGAAAAGCCTATTTAAAGGTAAATTAGTGCGGTGGCACCTGGGGTGGCCAGTCAGATTCCAAGGGTGGCATGTGCTACCCCAGGCCACTCCCTGGACACGCCCCTGAGCCGGGGACGCTTCGCTGACTTTTGTTTAAGGAGATGTGAGTAACCGATCTAATAGAAGTGACCTAGTTCCCCTCAAAAGCACCGGTGCCGTTTTCAGGGGATTTTATAGATCATGGCCACCGGACCGTTCTGATCAGCTACGCTTCTGTTTTCACCGAGCTGCTTTCCACTCCCTCAGCTTCTTAAATGATGCAGCCTGAAACCTCAACTCTCCTCTTCCCACCGAAGTTGTTTATGCTTTCAAAGACGAGCAAGATTTAGAAATCAGTGAGGAGACGGGTTCATAACAGAACTGAAACAGCCTGCCACACCTGGGTTTTCCTCAGTTGGCGCATAAAAAGCAGCCGTGTGCATCGATGACCTGAAAGGTAAAGAGCAAAGAACGAAAGAAGCAAAGCTGAGAACGTTTAGAAGATAACTGGAACTGTATGGAAGGTTTCTGCTTTAGTGTGTATTAAAATCGTGGCTGCTGGTGGTTTCGATGTCACTGAAACGGGCTGTTTGAGGTTCAGCAGGTGTTCATTAGCTTTGACCTGAGCTCTATGTGACCTCAGCAGCAGCGAAACACAAATAAATGTGTTTTTATTTTCTCACTCAAACAATGGAGAGAGCTTTCTTTCATGCAGGTCTCATTTTCATACCTGCTGATCTGTGTTTATGTAAAACAGATGTGATGGCTCAGCCCAGCATCTGAAAACAGAGGTGTGTGTGTGTGTGTGTGTGTGTGTGTGTGTTTAATACAGTAATACCTTCTACAGAAGACACGAGTGGGCATGGCCTTGTGTGTTCATGTGAGCAATATTGGTTTTCCTTCCTGCTCAGGACCTGAGCCGTGAAGATGCAGCACACCACATGCACAGAGGACCGGATCCAGCACGTCCTGGACCGGTGTCTGGACGGGCTGAGAAGAAGCCCCATGGCGGCACACTCCTGGAACGGTAAGATCCTGGTCCATCCTCATTTAAGCTGTGTGTGTGTGTGTGTGTGTGTGTGTGTGTGTGTGTGTGTGTGTGTGTGTGTGTGTGTGTGTGTGTGTGTGTGTGTGTGTGTGTGTGTGGTGAAGTCGGTAAGAAAAGCCTTGTTAAGCTGAATATTTAGCAATAAATAACATTTTTTACTACCGTATTTTCCGGACTATAAGCCGCTACTTTTTCCCCACGCTTTGAACCGTGCGGCTTTACTGAAGATGTTCCTTCACCTGCCACTAGGGGGCGCTTTAGCAGAAAGTGAAATAGGTGGAAGTCAAAAGTGGAAATCGAAGAAAGTGCTCATTTTCATTTAGCACATGCAAGCAGCCGGCACGACGAAGAATTTGTTTCAAATCATACCCCCTCATCATGGTAACTACACGTATGAGTTCATATGATGCCGCATTTAAGTTGAAGGCCATCGATCTGGCAGTAAAGGAGGGAAACAGTGCTGCCGCACGTAAGCTTGGCATGAATGAATCCATGGTTCGGCGCTGGAGACGGCAGCGGGAAGAACTCATTCAAGCCAGCTTCACCCGGGGATGATGACAGCGACACGGACAGCGACACCGACATCGCCACAGAAAAGGTATGTGACGAAGCTCTTCTGAGGCTGTTCAACTCCGACACTGAAGAAGAGGACTTTAATGGCTTTAGCGCGCAGGAGGAAGATGAGAGCGAATGACTTCTTCTGGTAGACAAGTGTGTTTTATTTACTAACCAGGCATGTTTAGTGTGCAGTTTTTATTTTCTAACCATCCAGGGCTTATTAATGCTGTGTCAGCGCTGTTCTTTTCTTCTAAACATGAAAATGACCGGTAATAACGTGTCAGTGCTGTTTTTATTTTATAACCATTCAGAAATATGAACGCTATCAGCGCTGTTTTCTTTTCTAAACCTGCAGGCATGTTCACCCGTGTTTAAAATTCCTTTTGTTGAAATAAAACAACAACGAAAAACTTCCGTGTAGCGTCTTTCTGTCTAATTATCTTATGTTACGGCCGTACATGCGCTGTGCGCCGGAGACCTGCATGTGGCTGCTGCGCCACGGCTTGTATTTGAGTGCGGCGTGTGTGTGTGTGTGTGTAGAAAACCTTTTTTTTTTTTATTGGCGCGGCTTATAATGAGGTGCGCTCTATAGTCCGGAATTTACGGTATTTAGTCTAGTCTGATCAGATGCTGTAGTTAAACTTGGGGAATGAAACGTCTAAAAAAAAGTATTTTTATACAAAATTCATCTTTAGCATCCTTTTGCGCTGCCATGTGGGTCTTCACTGCCTCTAGAGACACTTCCAATGTTTAAAAAAACCCGTCCGTCCATTTTCCTTCAGTGTTTGTTTTTAGGAATTATCTGCTGTTTCCAAAAAGAAGGAAATTGCAATAGAACCACCTCTTGTGTACAGAGACAGCTGTTGGAGGAGCCGCCAATCTTCTCCGAGCCCCTCCCAGATATCAGAGCTTCTCGGCCTATAGCGGCCTGAGCGAGGGATGAGTGGGCAATGTTAGCTTGTATTCTTAAGTGACAAGAGCCCTAGAACAGCTAGCTTAGCTTTATAATTATTATTATAATTATTATATAACCCTAGCTTTATAAATAAAGCTTTGATTGATTGATTGATTGAACAGCTCAATCTGGAGGGTACTGAAACTGTTGTGAATTAAACAAATAAAATAGCTTTAGTCAGGACGTTTGTGCAAATAGCTTCATGAACATGTGCAGTATCAACCATAAAGCTGGGAAAAAGTCATATGTCTCTTTATTTTTATTTTTTATAAGTTTTAGAATGACTGAAAGAACACGAGGAAGGTGTTCTTATTATTTTGTTAACTGAAGCCAAATGAAGGCCGGGTGAGCCACCTTTTGTGTTTCTAAGAAAGATCATCTAATGTAGAGGAGTGATGGAGTTGGAGCTGTTTTGTTGGAGTCTCAAGCAGAGCGTTAGAAGAGTAGTCTCTCGCTATAGTAGAAGATCTGTTTATGTTGTCTGTGCATCTGCTGCTACCAGATGAAATGACAGCTCAATATCTGTTAAAGTGATTGAGATGTGGCTGTTTTTGTGTCTTAGTTATGAAGTCATTTTGCTGTGGCAATGCTATTAAATTAGGTTGGTTATTAAAGGATTCATGGGATGGTTTGCTAACCAATTAGATTCTGGTAGTTTATGGCAAATTTTGCACTAACTCTGAGGCCTAGTCCACACGTAGCCGGGTTTTTAAAAAAAAAAGAATATCCGCCCCTCCAAAAACTTGCATCCACACCACCTCGTTTAAAAAGAAACTCTGTCCACACGTACCCGGATAAATACGTTGTTAAGGACATGCCAGACCTGTAGGTGGCAGTACTTCCCCCGTTCTTAACCTCGTCCTTCGTCTGTGGTCTTCCGCAAGGAGCAGTAATTCTGCTTGCAAAAACAAACAAGCAAAAAGCGCTTGGACAATTGATAAAGCGAGCGCAGCTCTGAGGGCATCCATGCTGTCGGCTAGTGTAAACACAGGTCGCACACGTGATGTCAGCATTTTTTTGTCGCGGAAAGTGACGTTGCGGACCTTAAAACTCCGGTTTTGTCTGTCCACACGCAGACACCCAAAACGGAGAAAACGCAGATCTTCACTTTGGCCGGAGTTTTTAACAAGATCCGTTTTCGTGTGAAAAAACTCCGTTTTCGTGTGGATGACAGGCCAAAATGTGTGGACAGGGCCTTAGGTGTGTGTGGCTCTCTGCCACTCCAAAACCAAATTTTAGCTCAGTATCTACAAAGTGACCAAGTTTTTGTGTTTTCTAATGTCCGTGGCAGCCATCTTGGATGTTGTTGCGCTGGCCTTTCCAAACTGGTTAGTCCACCAGTGTTTGTCCTGCTATGAAATAAAATATCTGCATGCTTATGCAGATTTGTTGGAAGTGCAAAACTTATTTCATTAGGAACTCGGTGGTTTCTCAGAATGTAATAAGCAACATGTTTTCTTGGTATCCTCTACCCCAGTTCACACATTAGAGGAACTGTGTGCTGTTTTTAACTTGCAGTGGTTTGTTGCTGGTGTGTCAGCCACAGCCCAGTGTGTCAGACCTGGAACTAGCACATGCTTCATGTGCACATGGAGGTGGCTGAGCTTCTTGTTGGTGACTCTGTTGCCTTCAGATCTGAGGAGCGTATTATGGGGAGTTGGAGGAAGTTGTGTGAATAAGACAGCTGGGAGGAAGTGGTGGCAAAGACCGCAGCGCGTAGATGGAGACATCATGTGACAGGAGTAACAGCGCTGCAGGGTGTAGAAAAACACTTAAAATAGGACGAAAGTTCGGATCAACATGAGCTCACAGACTTCAGTCGATAACACACCCACCCACACACACACACACACACACACACACACACACACACACATACACACGACTAGAGGAGCACTCTGTTTTCTTTAGTCCTAAACTCTGATATCTGGTTTCTTCACAGCTGCTGATTCGACCAACTCTAAAGACTTTGTTTTGCTCTGTTATCTGATGAATATTTTATTATGACGCAAATCACCATTTTTTTATGGAGATGTGAGATACTCTCCTACAGATAGCTTTATTAAATGGTAAATGACCTGTATTTGACATAGCGCCTTCTAGAGTCCTGGAACCCCTCAAGGCGCTTTACAACACAATCAGTCATTCACCCATTCACACACTGGTGGTGATGAGCTACGATGTAGCCACAGCTGCCCTGGGGCGCACTGACAGACGCGAGGCTGCCGAGCACTGGCGCCACTGGTCCCTCCGACCACCACCAGCAGGCAACGTGGGTTAAGTGTCTTGCCCAAGGACACAACGACAGCGACAGACTGAGCGGGGCTCGAACCTGCAACCTTCCGATTACGAGGCGAGCACTTAACTCCTGTGCCGCCGTCGCCCCACATTAAAATACAGCAGCCAGTGTTTCCTAAAGAACATTTCCGTGTAACACCTGCTGACGCGTCCATCCATGGAAGCTAGCTGAGCTCCATAGATAAAGACTCTTAGAGCGATGGAGGGATGACATGAACCCAAGGGTACTTTAACATGTCACTTGTTTTTGTGTCAGATCTCAGTTCTGTGTGGTTTGAAATGGGGGTAGTTGTAACAGCCTGGCCATTCCGGCCACCGTAGTGCGAGAAGACAAACTCACGCGAGGTTGGTGTGTAGGGGGGGAATAAAGATGGCTGAATAAATCACCGACTAAGACTGGGCTCCGTCATGATTAATGATCATTCTTATTCATCTATATGAAAAACACAACAGTAGTGATGGTTGTTTTGCTGTTTACCTCAACTTTCTTTTTCACACTGGTAAACAGAACCAGAGGTTAGCTAATGTTGTTCAATACCATGCCGCAAGAAACAAAAGTCCTGACAACTAAACCTAATCTAAAGGTTTAGCTGTCGCCGTGGCAGTTCCAAAGGGCTAAACCTCAACCAGAAGAAATGCTTCCTGCCATATTCACGTTCACAAACGTCTGGGTTACTCTTTTCTCTTCTGTTTGTGTTTTCATTGAGAATAGTTAGCTAAAAGTGAAGCTAGCATTAGCTTAAGTCCTGTCTGTTCTTCACCTTGGCTCACTGTAACACACCCCTTACATCTGTCCCTTCTGTCACCTCACACAGAAGTGGGCTCTCCTTTATGGTAAATGTCAGTTTATAGTGTGGAAAAACATTATGAGCATATTTGCTCGATGAAATCAGAACAAATGTCACTTCTGGCCTTTTAAGGTAAATAAAATTTTTAATGACCAATTTTGTGATTTTGTGTGCTTTTTCCATCTGGTGGAAATCCTATAAGGCCCCTGGCACAGACTTATAAAATGTCTTTAAAACTGTTGGTGCATTTCAGGAAATAAAAAATGTGTACGTAAACAGCTGAGGGCCCAGAAGTGAGCCTTAGGCAGCAGGAGAAGACAGTCAACATAATCTGTTGATGACTTCATGAAAAATCTTTTCAAAAATAAGTCCTGTTGTCTTTGTTTGAACCAGCATAGAGTCTTAGATGTCCTAATCCACCGTCATCAGTTCAATTATGTTTTCCTCTTAGGTTTATTTGATTGATTTTGACTTGTGGTGCTCCCCAGGGTTCACGTCTCGGCCCCCTGCTGTTTGAAACCTTCTTTCTTTATTCAAGGCATTTAACAACCTGGTTTCAACATATTACCTTCCATTGCTAATCTCAGTCATGAATCTCACAGTAAAAAGATTTGAGTTAGCCTCAGATATTTTAAAAGTCGACAAAAATATATTCATCACCTTTTTATTGGCATCCATTAAATCTACCTTCAATTAGGCTGAATACAGCGGTTCTCTCATCACCAATCACAAGCAGGATTCTTGGTAGTGTAACGGAATTGAAGTGATGTAACTATCTAAAGTTGTATTTTAATACACTGTAGGTAGTTCACTTTTTATAAACAGAAGAATAGGCTGTTTTTATCATCAGGGAGTTTAATTAAACACTCTGTATTGACTTTGAGACAAGAATAGAGAGAGAGATGGGATCGTTTGAGACTCTTTAATTTCTGAATTATAAATTCTAAACAATCTACCAGGACTAACTCTGTGATGAATGAAAATGGATTCGGATGTTGTGTTGGTGCGTGTGTGTGTGTGTGTGTGTCTGGTTCAGACTCTCTAGGCTGACGTCACTGAATCTGGTCGTCTTTGTTGTGACTAGATATCACGAGGCTTATAAAGTGATGACATGAGCCGCTATTTTGCCGTGTACGTACCCAGTGGGGGTCTCCCAGGTAGATCAGGAAATGCCAGGTCTGGAGACCTCGGAAGTACGCTGGAGCTGTCGGTGCAGCGATCACAACGTTTCAAAGCCCGTCTGGAGGGTCGACCCCGGTACCGTTCGGCGGCGCGTCAGCAGGTGCTCTTATTTTGAAAAGGATGTCGTCTGGTTGTTAAACGATGAAAATCTCCAGCTTCACAGTTCTTAGTTTAAAGAAGAAAACACATCTGGCCAGTCTGTGCTTATCTTTAGGATGACGATGACTAGAACTGAAGTCAAAATGGAACTGACTTTAAAATGGCGTTGCCTTGTTTTATATCTCTGGATTGTTGATAAGTTGTAGTAAAGTGGATTGGACACTTGAAGTCAACACCAGATTCTCCTGCGGCAGCCGAAAGCTCTGATTGGTTGGAACAATGTGTCATGCGTTTCTATGGAGATGAGGATCAGTATGTCTGTGCCGTAGTCCTGTTTTCATTAAACATAAATCATGACATATTTATTTCACAGATCATTCACTTGATTATTGTTTATCAACATCTGTTTTGCTTAATAATTTTAATCACAAATAAAGTACTTTGATTAAGTAAAGTTTCTTCTTCTCCTTCGGACTCTTCTCCTGGAATGTAAACAGTCTGAGGAACACCCGACCTTGGTTTTTCTACACGGGTGTTATTGTGCACAGGGGGCAGCTGTATGGAGTTGAAAACAATGAACTTCATAACCTTACAGTAGCACGCACACTAATATAATGCTGACATTTCATCCAAAGTAAAAGATTATGGATGTGAAACTGGTAAACAGCAGGCATGTGTATTTTTGAAATTCTGGCGATGCGATACATATCAAGATACAGGGGAGACGATACGATATATCACGATATATTGCGATACATTCAGTCAGACGTTACAAGGAATTTTTTTGCTGAATTTATTGTTAGAATGTTCAATAAACAGTCAAATTGGATACGTAACGTGTTTAACATGAGGTATCTGAACCATGATGGAGGGATTTACATTTCAGTGGTGGAAACAAAACCCGTTGCACACTGCTGCCAACTAGCGGGTGGCGATTGAATTGCACAAAACGAAAAGAAAATACACAAATGTTTGCATGTAAATTCTTTCAAAAATTAGATGCACGGCTTTTGAATATTGATGTAATAATCACAGGAAAAAATATCACGATATATTGCCATATCGATATTTCCGATACACGGCTTTTGAATATCGATATAATATTGCTGGGAAAAATATCACGATATATTACCATATCAATATTTTCTTACATCCCTAGTAAACAGGTATGATGAATTCCTACTGAAAGTCAAACTTGAGGCTCACTGTAGGTCAGGGTAGTTAGCTTCAACCAGAACAAACCAACACGTTTAAATATCAAGGATAACGAATAAATGTGGAAAAAACAGGAGAGCTTAAGCTGGATTAAAAAGCTTGTGGCATCTTTTCCTACTATTAAACATTGAATCCTAATGTCATTTGCTTGACCTAGGTTTTTATCCCGTTTCTCTGTTTCCTATTTCCCTTGTGGTTTTTTACTGTAGGGAATGAGACATTTGAAATATTCGAGTAACCTTTTCCATTTGTCACATTAAGTAGACTGAATTGTTTTTTGTTTTATTTCAGTGCTGATGTGTTCGGCAGGTCAGTCAATGAACCGTTGGAGCTTGGAGGAGCTGGTGAAGAGAGACCCTGAGAACTTCCTCATCCTTATGCAGCAGATCATCAGGAAAACCAAAGAGGTGACAGCCATGGGCCTTTCTCAAAGACGTTACGTTGCGGTGGATTTGATGAATGCTAACACCCGTGTGTGTTCTGCCTCATGTGCGTTCAGGTTCAAGAGCAGTGTCAGTACGAGCTGGTGGTTCCCCTCGCTGTCATGTTCACCTCCACCCTGCTGCAGGTACGGGGCGTCCGCACCCCAACATGACATCAACACATTTAACCTGAGTCCTGATTAATCTCCACATTTAAGAAAATGTTCTGTTCCGAATGTTTCTTATTACAGTTCCTCATTTCAAACCACAGCGACGTCAGATAGCGGTGCCAGTTACAAAAGCACTGAATCCGCCTCACAAACTCTCCCGTGGGTCATTCCGGTGGAGTAAAAGGAGTCTTGTAACAACGCGCAAAGATTACGCCATTAAAAATCCTCCGAGCGAGTGAACGGACCTCGATTAAAACGTCAAGTGTTGGGAATCCTTATTTCCCAGTTTTAACATTTTGAGAATAACTTCCCTTTTGTTTGTAGAAGTTTTTTTGCAGTAGGAAATAAAAACACCACTGGTGTGAGATTGTCTTGCTGCTAATTGTTTAAAAATTCACAATAAGACGACAAATCACATCATCCATATTGTGATGAATGGCACATGAATACAAGCCTCATTAAGACACTAATGCTACTTAATGATGCTAATTAGTGTGATTTATCACAGCCCTGATCCCTCAAAACGCTTCTTCTCCCTTTAGGACAATTCTCCTGTCATATCTCAGAGTTGTCTCATTGAAATGTTTCACATCAACTAACAAAGACCAAGAGAAACTCAGTAAATACAGAATTCAGGTATCACCATATTTTTTATTTGTATTTATTTTTCCGTCATAACAAATAAAACACATGAAAATGAAAATAATTATCTAATAAAGAACATAATAATAATTATCACAAGTACAAATTCCTCTAGTAAATTAAACAGTTTCTTTAGATATAATTTATGAGCGAAAAGGTATAGGCTGAAGTTAAACTTATTTAAGCCTACCCATTAATTCATTACAAAAAAATCGACATTGTCATAAACATCAAAAGTAAATAAACATATAAAAAATACAGTTATTACATGCAACATCCTAATTTCAACAAAATCAATCAAGAGGTATAAAACGTGTGACAAAACTAATTTTGGTGCACTTGGTAATTACGTAAGGCATTATTTTTAAAACTCTTTTTGAATGTTTTCAACGAGCATGAATTTTTTAATCTATCCTCGAGACTATTCCATAAACTCACTCCTCTTACTGAGATACATCTTTGTTTTTTATTGGTTCTAATATTCTTGAAAATGAAGAGGAACAAAGCCTTTCAGACAAGCGTGAGCAAGTCAGGGACCACTGAAGCTAATAGCAGGTTGGTACTCTCTTGGCTACTTCAGTCAAAGGTTTACAATAACTGCTAATATGTCTCTCCCATCACTGTGGAGGAGTTTTGTTCCACTCTTCTGGACAGAACTGTTTTAGTTCAGCCACATCAAAGGGTTTTCCATTATGAACAACCTGCTTAGGGTCAAAGGTCCGACATACTCCTTCATTCATGGTTCCGTCAGTTATAGCAAAGGCTCCAGATCATTCAGCAGCACAGCAGCCCCAGACCATCACACTACCACCACCATGCTGTTCTGGAATGCAGCACATACTTACGTTTTCTCAGTTGCTCAGTGCAGAAATGCAGCCACTCGCCAACACTCGTCTGTGTGAGCGTGACCGTCAGAAGGCTGAGCAACAACCTGTAAAATAATTATGCTAGATCAGCCTTTCTCTGTGGTGGCCACTAGGAGCCGATAGGGATAATAAACAAATAAACATATTACTAATAAATCTCACAACAAACAAAGTTGTGAGATTTGTTTCTGTTTTGAGTGATTTAGTCTGTTGAGAGTTTAATTGTTTAATCTGTTAGATTGTAACTGACAGCAGCTACGTTTAAGTTCCAGTTTTCCTAGATGTGCCGGTCGCGAACGAACAGGCTCTAAGAGCCGGCTCTTTGAAGTGAACGACGGGAGCTGGCTCGTCATTGGGAGCCGTCCCCTCCCCTCCTGCCCTGGCGAAGGCCACAGGCGATTGGTCAACAAGTGTAACTGTGTGTCCAGACTGTCCACACACAGAGCAGTAGGGGCGGGGAAGAGGGAGGATCAGACTCAGACACACAGCAGAGCACATGCGGGCGGAGGGAGACGAGAGGGAATGAGGAGGAGGAAAAAGGCGAGCGCGAGAGAGGAGAGTGCGACGAAGACGGTGAGAAAATGAGCGCCAGCAGTCAGAAAGTGGAGATTTCTTAAAGTGTTTAGTTATTAAATCCATAGAAATGATAAATATTTGATATATTGCTTTTTTACATTAGTAAATCATTTTACATATAGTTTAGCATTATTTTGGTTATAAATATACTCTACGCCAGTGGTACTCAACCTTTTTTGACTGATGTACCCCCTTTGAAATATTCTTTTCAGCCGAGTACCCTCTAATGAGCGCAAAAGCATTGGGGGGAGGACTCTGGGATTTTGGGATAATGAATTTAGCCTACTTCTACTGAATATAAAACACATTTTATGAACTTTTACTTATATTTTCCTAAAATATTTATTAAATAATTATTTTTTAAAAGATTTTCCATGGATACTATTTTTTTAAAATGAATGTACATTTTCTCACGTACCCCCGGAGTTTCTTTTCGTACCCCCAGGGGTACGCGTACCCCCATTTGAGAAAGGCTGCTCTACGCAACATAAAATCTGAGGAGCCACTTGGGAGCCGAAAGAGCCGGCTCCCTAAAAAGAGCCGGAATTCCCATCACTAGTGTAGACCCAGTCATCCTGGACATGATCATCTGAGAGTTTCAGGTGAAACCAGCTGGACGCTTCTGGTTATGTTGAAGACTTTTGCCTCTCATCCGAGAGGCTTCCTCGGTTCCCATACTTTAACACACTGGTTGTGCTGCAAGTCTTTTTCTTTCTTTCTTGAAAACACATTTTGGTCTGATTGAAGGTGATGTTGCTGTTCATAGAATTAAAATTCATGTTGAAGTTCTGATTATGTCATCAAGTAGGACCTGCGGTATGCTGGCTCATTTAAAACTTGTAACGTTTTGGGATCCTGCCACTTCGGGTATCGGGAATCGATAGGAACCGGAATTGAATCGAGGAACTGGAATCGGAATCATCCAGATTCAAATGAAGCCGAACCCTACCACGGGATTGGTCTCTTTTGATCTTTTCGCACAAATGAAATCATCATTTAAAAAGTTAATTTTGTATTTACTCAGGTTTTCGCTTTGGTAATGAAATAAATGTGCGTGCTGAGCCGAAACATCTCAAGTAAAAACAAAACTGGGCAAATGCTTCAGCTGCTCTCATCCAGGTGTTGTTTGTCTTCTGGTTTCAGACTCCGTACTGTCCTCAGAGCTCAGAGATCCTAGAGGACGCCATCGAGGTGTTTTACACCTTCCTCACATGGCCCGAGCCTTACTGTGGCGTGTGCAAGGAGCTCCTCTCCACACTACAGCTGGAGATCAAAGCTCCGGGTAAATAGTCATCCGTTTTTCTGTCTCTGATTTCTACTGAAGCACATTTGCGGTTTGTTGTGGCACCCCCTCTAGTGGCAGTTTGTAGAAATGCAGCTGGAGTGAAGATAGCAGGATGATGATGATGATGATGATGATGATGATGTAATAAAAGCCCAAACGGAACAAAAATCAGGAACTGACAGCAGAGACATTTGCGGGAATTGTCAGAGGAAGTTGTTTGAATGTACCGATGAATGAATCTATTAGAACAAATGAATGAATCTGTAAACTGTGTTGAGTTGAATCAAGTGTAGCCGTACACTGGTTTCCATTAAACTCAGATCACGTTCTTTATTGGTGTGTTCCTGGGTTTGTTTATTTATCTATATACACTTTCATCTGATCTATTTTTACACTTTTTGTTTTTCTGCCTTTCTTGCAGGGATTTCCTTTCAGAGGCTGGTTAGAGAAGAACAGGGCCTAAACATCCCCAAACTAAGCCCAAAAACCATGTAAGCCCGTAATATTTCCCTACAGTATACACGTGAGAGTGCTGGAAATGTTATTGACAGCACAAAACGTAATGTTTATGAAATATTGGGAATTTTCCTTCGGTGTTCCATTGTTGTCCTAAAGGCTTCTAAAAGTGATCTCTGAATATGTTTGTGTAATAAAATCCCCTTGCTGTGAGCTGGTCAGGAATAAATTAAACCAAATATTTTCATTCCAGTTTAGAATATAATTCAGTTTTCAGCTGTTTTCCTGTTAAAAGTGGCACAAATAGCGCTCCCGTCACTGCGGTCTACCACGAGTGTGTTCAATGTGAAAAAATAACAGCTGCTTGTGACTTTTTAAGCTATATTTGCTTGTGGTTAGCTCTCATCAGAGCTGGAAAATCCCTTCTCATGCCCCTTTAGTAATACTCATATCCTATGATGATGATGATCTGCTTTCAGTCCAGTTCTGCCCCTCAGCTTCCTGAGTGTCACATTGTCTGTACCTACACTCACTTACTGTCTTCTGCGTCCAGGACTGTGTTGCTGATGAATCCAGGTGAGGTTCCTGCTGACTTTCTCTCGGTGGCCGAGCAGCTCAGCCACATTCAGCACTCGCAGAAAGACACCTACATCACGCTGATTAAGCACGCCTTCCAGTCCACGTTTGGCACCAAGTATCCTCTTCAGAGCATCCACAAGGCCCTGCAGGTGCGTTCAGAAAGATGGGAACACTGGTTGTCTGGAATTACAAAAGCTAAAATAGAAGCCCTTTCACTACTTTAAAGAGCAAGTTCACTGAGTCATCGTTATTACTTGTTATGTTTGAAATACGTCGATCACTCCAAGTTTCACATGCAGGCTAAACATTAAAATAATCTTTTTCCTGCATTAGCCACCCATGGCAAATGGACAGGGAAATGCTCAGATTCGAAAAGTCAGTCAGATCTGCATCATAATGTAAATTAACATGCATGGACTCACCCTTCTTGGCTCTCAACGGGGAAGCATGTACCATCCAGGGTGTGTAATATGTAATCATAGGATGTCCAAGGAAGGTCGCGCCTTTCCCGCCTCTGATTGGCTGGAAGCACTCTCATACAATTGGCTATTTCATGTAAGAGGAAACCATCTTCCCTTGCTGCAGGAATTTCATGTTACAGCCAGATCTTGAGGAGTTTAGTGGAGAAAATGTGAACTCATTGCTAAAATAATCATCCTGTCCTGTTTTGCAACAAATCAGTTTCAGTTTGTTTTACATAAGAATCTGAAAAAGATCAAATATGAACTTGTAATAAATCTTGTTACATTTATCACACTTGTCTTCACTTTCATAGGTTAAGGCTGTTTGCAAGTTAGACCACATCTCCCATCATCTGTTTAAATGCGTAACATTTAATAACATTTTATTCAAAGCTCATGATTTAGACTTATTTTTCACCTGTTTTCATTTTTCTAAAAGAAAAACAGACCGGCTGCACGCAGCTGGGCAAAAATAGGGCAGTTTTATTGCGTTTCACACCCAGGTAAGGCACACACAGGTTTATCCACTGTGTTCTACTTTAATAACATAAAGAAACAAATATAAAAATATATCTTTCAAAACAGAAAAGAATGGTTGTTGTAGCGCTAGGTTCACATTTTCTTCACAAAACTCCCAAAACAGCTTTCTGTTGGTGGCAGGACGACAGGCTGCACTTAGCGAGGGAAGACGGTTAGCTTAACAATGAAATAGCCAATCATTGGAGAGCTCTTCTGGCCAACCATAGGTGAGAAAGGTGGGACCTTCCTTGGACATTCTACAATTCCAAATCACGTGTTCAAGACAGAGCAGAGCATGTCTCGACTAGTAGAAGCTAACTGTTAGCATTAGCCACTCAACATCATGGCTCCCGTCGGCGGCCGGGAAGCGAACCAGTTTTTGATGTTCGTTGCTTCGTTCCTTTCACAGCTAAAAAACGAAAACGAAGTGGAGAAGATCTTTTCTTCTGTGAGCGAGATCTTAGAGGCCGCTGCCGCGATGAGTGACCCGATAAACGCTCGCAGTCATGTCGTCCAGAATCTGGAGGGCTTGAGGGACGGGCTGAAAATCCCTTCATCCAACGGGAGGAAGTCTGATGGTGAGAAGTCTCTTTGATTAAATGAAGATATTTTTTTTTGGAACTGTGCATGATGGAGGTTTGTTCTGTTGTTTCTCAGGAATGCTTCAGACGTTGCCTTTACCTACCGCCAAAAGCTACATGTTTCACTGGGAGAAGGATAACTTTGGTGAGAGATGCAGCTTAATCCCATATTTAGTCAGACCAGATTGCATTTTGAGTTAACTCAGGGGGCTAATTTCTATTTTCCTATTAATATTTGGACACAATCAGATGTTCTCAACACCCTTTTGGAGCATGAACCTAATGATTTCTTCACAAACGAGTTTGATGATGATGATGTGACAAAGAATGATGTGGACGAAGAGGAAGAAAAAGAGAGACATGGCGGCCATGGCGTCGTCTCCTCTTTAAACATCACTGATGACTTCAGTGGCAATCATCGCGCCTCCACCATCTCCTCCCTTTCCACCACCTCAAAAGACTCTATGTTCTCTACCTTGTCCATGACCTCTGAGTCCTACTTCCCGTCCCTCATCTCTATAACGTCTGGAGTCGACAGCGACTACTTTGATGATTCCGACGACTACAACTCTTCCCCTGTGATGGACAAATGTTCCCCGAAGTCGACCAAAGTCTCAGCTCGTCTCAGTCAGCACTTTCAGCGGCTCTTTCCCAAACCCAAGAGCCCTCGGATGCTTTCCCGAGCCAAGAGTTTGTGTAACGCTGAAACGAAAGACCCCGTAATGGTTCGAGAAACGCGTTCCAACTCTCTCCCCCAGCAAGTCAAGTTATTCAGTTCTGAACCCCTTTCTGGACCGCAAAACCAAACTCTCCGACACATGTGCTTTCGACGGAGGCCCATTCTGAGCAGCGATGAGGACAATAAGAACATTACGCTCAGGGTGGTGGTGTTTGGTGCCGATCACATGGCGGGGAAGGTGGCTCGAGCCTACAGCAGCCTGAGGTTGAAGGAGAGCGTGTGTCCACGTCTCACCAGAGCCTTTAAACTCCAGTTCTACTTCGTGCCTGTCAAGAGAGACCCATCAGGCGGACCGGGAACTCGAAGAGCTTCTAGTCCTTTGGTACAAGTTGGGTCTCCAAAAGCAGCGGCTGCGCCTTGTGTAAGTAGAAGATTAATGAAACCAAGGTCAAGAGCTTCCATGAAACGGTGGTAGTTACACAATTCCTGCAACATACAAACAAATGGTAATACTCACCCATCTGTCCAAAGCCCCCCACCAGCATCTCTGCTGAAGTACATCCAAACCGTCTTTCATTCTTTGCTAAATTACTCTAAACCTTTTCCATGAAATAAACTTTAGATTGTCGAAGCACTTTGATTTAAGTTGATCAAGGCCTGACTGAGCATCACAGAGCCAGATGCAGGCGCTCAACAGCTAGAGCAGTGTTGGGAGTAGCGGTGTTCATGTATAACAGTTTTACTAATGCTGTCATCTAGGTAACAGAGTATTCTAATGGATTACCTTCCTCATCGTTGCAACGCCGTTACCGTCACTGGGCATGCAAAGTGGTGCGTGACTCTGTTACTTTAATGTGGTTGAAAGAAGCTCAGCGGATGTCAGGCTTTCCGACAGCCACACCAGTGATGCGCGCATGAAACGGCCCGTGAGCCCTCCGGAGCAGGAGCGACTGACAGCCGCTTCAAAAAGAAGATGAAATCATGAGGCGCTTACTTTACAGGCACTCGCCATCCCACCCCGAGCAGGTTTACAAGCAACAAAAATAAACACAGAGCAAGAGAGGGAGAGATGAGTGTGTGAGCAGCGCTGCACACACTCATCTGTCCGATCGCTAAAAAGCAGGGAGGAGGTTAGTGCGTGCAAAGTGCCTGGCTGGGACGTTTATGACATTAATACGATGGATCTGTAAATATCGGTGGGGACAAAGATGATGCAGAAGTAACTAACGTTTCTGTGACTTCGGTGGTGTCTTCACCAGAAGTGTTGAAACTAGGGGTGGGACTTGATTAAGAAATAAGTCTAATTAATTAGAGGCTTTGTAATCAATTAATCTTAATCACAATTTAATCGTTCAGGAAAATGTGCCCTCAAAGCAATGTTTTAAATGAAAAATAATAGGCAGAAAATCAAACATTAGACATGGATATTATTACTGTAAACTCAAGCTCTTCATTTCTAAAACAAAATGCTTTTTAATTATTCAAATGTCACTTTTGGCGCTTACACATTATTGTCGGCACGGTCGGGGTTTGGTGGGGCTGGATGGCGTGAGTTCGGTCTAAGGATGGGCATTGTAGTGTTCACTTCTAAATCCAAGGGACTTCTCGGGAATGCGGAAATCCCTGAGCCTGTGGGCGGCGTTTACTACGCGCTGGAAAGTCCGCAGTGTCCTCCATTATAAGGTAAACCAAGGCGGGCATGAGATTTGTTGCTGTTGGAGAGCCCACTCACTTCTCCCGTTCACACTGATCAGCAGCTCCGGAACAGCAGCTCTGTGCTACAGACGTGTTTACTCAACAGCATCCAGCATGAAATTACTTACTTACTTTCATAAACTACTGCCAAGAGCAAAGCGCTTTCAGCGATGCACAAATGTTAAGAATTTTGCCTGCTTTGACTGTGAAGTTTCCGGTGCCACCCGGCAGCACGTTTCATTTGTTTCCCGAATGTCCGCGTCACGGACTCCGTAGTTTTCAGGAAGTTTATTTTTACAAGTTAAGAGAAGAGGGTGACGTGTTTCCCAAACACTGCAGCAGTCCAAGCAAATTGATTCCATTTTAGTAGCGGTTTGCAGAGCCCTGTGCATTGTCGTGTGCGTCAGTGATATTCGGTCCACCAGGAAATCAGTGACAAAGGTTCCGCCTTACTGGAAAATGCAACCTCTGATTAAATGCATGCATTTTTTACGCGTCGCGCTCTTCTATTTAATTATCCAAAATTAACTCGTTAAAGTCCCACCGCTAGTTGAAACATTGGTTATTTCAGCAGGGGGTTTGCAGGTTGCAGGTTCAAATCCCAGCTGCAACCTTTCTGGCATGTTCGCCTCATGCGTGTGTGGGTTTCTCTGGGTTCCCCGGTCCCCCCCCCCCACTGACCAAAATCACGCATGTCTGATTAAGTGTTTAACTATAACCCTCCCACTGTCCTAATGGGTGTGACCCCGTGAAGAAAGTTGACCATCGAGCAGGATTGATGGTTTATCCCTTGAGGTCCACGTGGCAGGGGTGAGGAGTGAGCACCACCTCACCCCTGCCACGTGGACCTCAAGGGATAAACCATCAATCCTGCTCAATGGTCAACTTTCCTCGCGGGGTCACCCACAAAGACAGCTGGAGGGTTAAGGATTGTATTTTTGTCGTGCAGGACAACAACCACGCGGTGTCAGGTAACAGCACTAATGACATTGCACATCTGTTGGGCATGTTGGATCCGTGGTATGAAAGAAACACCCTCAGCCTGCTCAAGTTGCCTACCAACGTCGTCTGCCAGGTACCGTCTTTTCTGTTGATCAGGTTCAGAGCACTTCTGTAGTTTTGTGAAGCTGATCTGTTATCTAGACGGATGAAGGAGGAGGCCTTTTGTGTGTGACTGCTTTGTGTTTTTGCAGCAAACCTCGAAAACAGAGTCGGAGTCTTACGATAGTTCATACGAGCAGCGCCTACCCATCCTAGCAGACTTGGTGCTGTACTACTGCCGCTACGCCACTCGGCAGTCACTAATCCAGCTCTATCATGCTGAGGTAAAAAGGCCTTTCCTATGACAAGTTTCCCTTTATAACAGCTTGAATGAATAAAACACCAAGAATGAAGATTTCGTCACTCCTGCTGTGTGGTTTTTTTGCAGCTGACGTTGGCTAGTGGTGAGAAGAGAACCGAGGTGTTCATCCACTCCCTGGAGCTGGGTCACACTGCAGGAACGCGAGCCATCAAGGCCATGGGTGAGCAGGCAGACGCAGCCCTAGCAACACGTCCATGTTTCCGTGCATCATCTGGTATCGTGAGGTTAAGACTGGACTCTAATTATGAAAGAGGAACACCGGTTGTTTCTGTAACATCACTTCTACTTTACTGGTTTCACTTGTCACCACTGCTTGTACTTCCGATATTTAATTTCTAAGCAGAAGCAAGCAGCTGTTCTGTAAAGAGGACTCTCTGATGCAAAACCCTGATGTCTTTACTGCGGTGTGAATGCGTGTTTGTCCTTCTGTTTTCTTGTTTAGGCGCTGCCAGCAAACGCTTTGGGATTGATGGAGACAGAGAGGCGGTGCCTCTGAACCTGGAGATGGTTTACAACAGAGTAAGGCTGTTCTTTCTAAAGTCACAGCTTCAAGGAAAAACTCATCTTTCGATGATTTTATGTGGAAAGGTCATGAATCATTGTTATTTAACCTGCTGGAGGTAGCTCTTTGAACAACTCCAGACTGGTGAAATGGAGATTAGTTTTGACCAGATTGACAAGCTAACTGCTAGTCACAGCAAAGCCAGGACCAAAGTGGATTACAAGCAGTGGCTTGAATGTCACAGCAGTTCATGCAAACACCATCTTTGGAATGTTTTACATCTCTGCTGATTTCCTGTTGCACAAGCGACTGCGTGGCGGTTCGGTTGGTAGCACTGCTGCCTTGTGGCCTAAAAGTTGCAGGTTTAAATCCCAGCTGCAGCATTTGTGCATGGAGTTTGCATGTTCTCCCCACCATGTGTGGGTTTTCACGTGGTGCTCCAGTTTTCTCTCACAGACCAAAAACATGAATATTAGGTGTTTTGTAAGTTTCCCCAGAAAAAAAGCATCTGATAGATAAGTCAGAGGTGCATCCTTTTACTTCAGTGAGGTTCTCAGGTGAGCACCAGGGGTCGATGCCTGTTGTGCATTACATAACACCCCCCCACCCCCCAGACATTACACCGGTATGCAGAGAAGCTCACTTACTAGCACCCCTGAACAGAAAGACTGATATTTCCACTGGAAGGGTGATAATGGGAGGGCTAGCTAGCGCTGCTACGAATGTATCCAGCAAACCATGATGGGATGTAAATGACTGTGAAATCGATATTTCAAAGCTCTCCAAGTAGTTTCCAAAATATATTTAATGGCTAATAAATATTAGCCGTTAGACATATTTTTTATCATTCAAAGAGTTTTCTACAACAAAGAGCTGATTGAATTGTGATTTTTCTTGGAGAAATAGTCATAAATCACACCACAGAAACATTAAACACTATTATTTTTCTCCCATTGTTATCTTGTTTATTTTTAATGTTCTTGTGAAGCAAAATTCCAAACTTCTTAAATATGGCACAACATGAAATTCCAGTGCAACAAAACGAAGTACATAAAAAGGTGAACATTTTTATCCTACCTTTCAATATCACTGTTACACACATATATATATATATATATATATATATATATATATATATGTATATATATATATATATATATATATATATATATATATATATATATATATATATATATATATGGCAACGCCACACAAACCACGTTGGGACCCGTTTTTCCTGGTGTTCTGTCAGAACGCCTAGCTTATGGCTAAAAATTAATATCCGATTCTGCCGACACAACCTCTGTCAGTGTAACTCAGTGAAGCTGTGGCTACGATCGTAGCTCATCACCATCAGGGTGTGAGTGGGTGAATGACTTAAGAGCCTTGGGGGTTCCAGAACTATAGAAGGCGCTATATTAAACACAGACTATTTTAAAACCTTTCATCAGTAAAACTCAATAAGCACAGAAAACATTGTGTGTACTATGCTTTGGGTAAATGTAGAACAGTTTAAGCCACATCGGAAAATGGAAGCTTCTGAAAGCAGAACGATTGAACATCCCATGATGATTTGGCCACGTTCATGATGTCATCCAACATTCTCTTGGTGCCATCTAGTGGTGAAACTACATCTTGTAATGAGGATCGTAATCATTTGGTATTTTTGAACAATGTGTGTGTGTGTGTGTGTGTGTGTGTGTGTGTGTGTGTGTGTGTGTGTGTGTGTGTGTGTGTGTGTGTGTGTGTGGAGGTTGATGTTTATGCGCCATCGACACATACAAAGAAGATGCACAAAACCAAGACAGACTTTTGTTTGAGTACTCATCTCGGAGAGGGTCGCCGGACGGTGTGGGGATGTTTAGAACGTATAATTGGCTTCAATGGTGGACATGAATGACCACTTATAGACTCCAAGGCAGAGAGGAAAATTATCTCTGTCTGCCCTAAACAAAGTCTTGTTTATCCTAATCTGACGCCAAGGCAGCCTCCAAGGCTGCCTTCAACACACCCCCACGAAAGGAGGAATGCTGACAGATGCTGTGACCCGACCTTCCCCCCCTGCCTTCAGATTGTGACTTCTGTTTCGAGGTCATCAACCTGCACGAAACTCAATGTGCTCTCTGGCCCTCATCTCTCCCTCCCACCTGTTGACTGCAGCTGGCTGAGCGCGGTACTGGCAGCTCCCGTTGGAGGATTCAGGACCCCCCCCCCCGCCTCCCTATCGGAGTCTGATGTTTTGTAACTGTGATGTTCGTGCTTCTATGTTGAGGAGTTTTTTGTATAAAACTCTGATATGCCTTTTTTACCTTACTCCAATTATCCTCATGTAACACCCTTTTCATCTAATGAAATGAGTGCCGTTCTGGCTGCTCTCGTGGACTGCCTGTACCTGTTTTTGTCTACGTGTGTGTGTGTTTAACCTTGGTCAGGTTGTGTTTGCGGAGTCAAATTCCTATGCTCTGGGTCGCTGGAGCGCTGGCAATAAAGCTTATTCTGATTCTGATTCTGAAGTGGGAAAGATGACTAATAAGGATGTGTAGGGATGATATTAAGGGGATTTTCCTGGCTGTCCAAACTGTCTTTGCATGCTATTGGACTAATAATAATGACAACGGGCTGCATGGTGGCGCAGTGGTTAGCACTGGTGCCTCGCAGCACGAAGGTTGCAGGTTCAAATGTCGGCTCGGCTGCGGCCTTTCTGCGTGGAGTTACGTGTTCTCCCCGTGCATGCGTGGGTTTCCTCCGGGTACTCCGGTTTCCCCCACAGATCACAACATGCCCTATAGGTTATAAATTGTAAGTGTCTTTGGATAAAAGCGTCTGCTAAATAAATAAACATAAACATAATAATAATCGATTGGATTCATATAGCACTTCTCAGGGCATCCAAAGTGCTTTCCATTACTCACGCACTCACATTGGACCATTCATAACAACGAAGAAAGCTTCGTATTCCTCGCTACAGAAATGAGTCAGTGGGACAGTCCACCATGCACGGCCAAAGAAGAAGCAAATACATCTTTTTTTTAAATGAGTGACTTAAGTACCTTTATCTACTCACGTCCGTCACGGCTCTGGTGCTAAGCCCACCCTGCATCTCTCTACAAACGAAGAGTGGAATGGAGCGTGGCTAGACCGACCTGCAGAGCTTAAACCTTTAGCTACGGCTACAGTTTGTCTGGATTTGTACGCTAGTGAAATAGTGTTTTTGATGGTGATCGCCATTTCTTGTACATTATTCAGTTTAAATAAAATGTGCATGTTGTGCTGCACAACTGAGACAGAAGTTCTCCGTGTAGGTGCCCTCAAATAACCAACAGCACTCTCAGGAGCCTAGTACAAGATACAGTGATCCCTCGTTTATCGCGGTAGATGCATTCCAGAGCTGGCCGCGATAGGTGAAAATCTGCAAAGTAGGGACACCATATTTACAGTACAGTACTATATTGAATTATCGTATGATCACATTCTCCTTTTGTGGGTAAAACTCAAGAAAAAAAATTTTTTACTTGTTTTTTTTATAGTTTTATTACAAAAAGTGCATTTTATGATGAAATTGATGGAAAAAAAACAGGAATTTTTTTATATTTCGCATAGAAAATGCTGCAAATCGGCGAATTTCCCTTGAATAAGGCTCCAAAGAAAAAATCTGCGAAGTCGTGAATCCGCGATAAACGAACCGCGAAGTAGCGAGGGATCACTGTAACCACACACACACACACGCGCGCACACACACACACACACACCCTGAAATGCAAGGCCTACGCTTTATAGTTAACCACCCTTTTCTTCATTGATTTCTTCTGCTGCAGGTAGTCATCAGTGGAAGAAGCCAGTGGATAAAAGAAAACAAAGTCTGTACTTCGGTGAACTTAATCAAAGCCTGCAAGAACCCAGAGGAGCTAGGTAAGCTGTCACGTTGCTCATTATGAAGATTAAACCAATTTTACAATGAATGACCCAGATCGGTGATTCTTATCAGTAACTAATAATTAGAAGCTCTCAGATTTGATCGCGTCAAACTGAAATCGTTCAAGTATCTCAGATATGCTACTATGTGAAAAAACATGGTTTTAAATGGCTGAATGGTCTCTGAATCTTTAACGCTAATTATCAGAGTAGGATTACATCTTTGTCTACCTTCCTGTCAGACTCCAAGATGGAGTGCCTGCAGCTTACCATGACCGAGGTCCTGAAGAGACAAAACGGGAAAAGCAAGAAAAGCTACAACCAGGTGAGCTCGACGTGACACCATCCTGCCTCGGTGGTTTGTGGTTGAAGCGGCGCCGCGGCAGAGTGTGACACAAACAACACTGCAGCGTGTCGCCTTCAAAGCCGTAGACCTAACTAGTCTTTGATAGCATCTAAAGCGCTAAACCTCATTTCTCATCTCACAAATGAAAACATGCATGAGAAGTGATTTTCACACCAACCGCTCGATGGGGGCGGAAGATGAAGGCTGCATCGCGCAATAACACTTTGCATCTCTTTTGCTTGTTTGCTCACGATAATAGCCCAGTGTGTCAACGTTTAGATTAGGAGATCTGATTCTAATTAGTTATCCACTATCTCAACAGAACATCGACCCGTTTCACCGCTGAGCACGAGACGAGTGTTGCAACATTCATGTCAGCCTTTTTTCTGCCTTTGTCTGTTTGAAATAGCCAGTGTGTTTTTTTCTCTTTTGCTCATCTTTGTAGCAGCTGACCATGACTGAGGTGAAAGTGGACAAGGTGCACGTCAGTGGAACAGGAAACACAACTTTTGCCGTGTGTCTGGACCAGGATGAGAAGAAGATCCTCCAAAGTGTCACAAGGTATGGAGTCAAGATGCTAATAGAACATTAAAAGCCTATCATTCCTTGAAAGAATGCATGATGCCCCCTGATTTTCATGCTTATTGCAGTATAATAGGTAGGGATGGGTACCTTTGACATTTGAATCGATGGGGTACTAATTCCCGGTACCTAGGAATCGATACCGGTACTTAACGGTACCAATGTTTGATACTTTGAGTGTTTATTATTTTAATTCTCTTTTATAATTAAATATATATTTTTCTCAAATATATAACAATATTTGATAAATATCACGATAAATAACATACAACTGTTTGTATTTTAACATGGTCCTTGTAGTTTTATAAGCTGATAATTAAACTGAAGCAAACATCTTTACTCTGAACTAAATTTACTGTGTATCTTCATTCCTTTTACCGTCCTTTTTCATTTGATTTTTCCTACTGGGAAGTTAGAATTTCCGAGGAGAAAGCGAACGCACCATTAGCTGGTAACAATGGTAGCAATGGAAGCTAACATACCAAGCTAACGTTATCTTAAACAGTTTATTTAGCTGCTGGAGCAGATTTAAACGATGATGCCTCACACTTAGATCGTTGTCACTGGTTTCATCTTCACCCAATCACCCGTCGCATTTAGTAAAGTGAAGCCAAACTTTAGAGCGCGTTCATGTTCTTCTAGTCGGAAATTCGGAGTTCCGAGGAGAAAGCGAACGCACCATTTGCGAAACGGAAGCTAACATATCAAGCTAACGTTATCTTAAACATTTTATTTACCTACCGGAGCAGATTAAGATGAGGATGTCTCATTTAGATCGTTGTCGCTGGTTTCATCATCACCCAGTTACCCATCACATTTAGTGAAGTGGATCCAAGCTTTAGTGTGTTCTTTCTACCATGCTGCTCTGTTTACAACTGGCTCACAGCGAGCGACGACATAACGCTCTTGCGCATGTGCAGCTGTCTTGGCAAGTTCTCGTTGTGAAGGACGGGTACCGAAACAAGGCACCGTTTGAAATGACGTGAATCGGTGCTCGGTCGGTACTGTGGAATTCGGTCGGTACCTTATAAAGTACCGAATTCGGTACCCATCCCTATGAAACAGTGATATATTCCACATGATACATGCGCTTCCTGGCCCAAAAAGTCCCTCCCCCAGGAGTCGATGATCTGGGGTTGCTGCCGTTGGTCAGGTCTAGGCTCAGCAACACCATGCGGTCAGCTGCAGTTTAAAGAAGAAAAAATGTCCTCAAATTCAGTTATGAGAGATAACCAATAACAGGGCAGCTCAATGCATTAATCATGATTGTAGTGCTGGTAGATCATGAGATATGATATTCTTAGGTTTAAGTCATGCCACCAAAAGGAAAAAAAATAAACATGTTTCAAGTCTGCTCGTGTTCTCTGGTAGTTTCTAGCTTTCGTTTGTGCTGATGTACCACCGGGGGACTACCACCACAGCAGCTCAAACGCTGTTCAAACACTTTGTGCCCAGGAGCGTACCACGTTTATAATCTGGCCCTGCCAAGAAGACAATGCCAGAATTCATCAAGCTCAAATAGTGAAAGAGTGGTAGAGGGAGCATGACACATCATTTTGACACATGGATCGGTCATCACAGAGTCTGGACCTTAACCCTCATTGAGAATATTTGGGAAGTTTACCAAGATCTTAGTGAAAACGAATGCAGCACTGGATGAAAACAAATCTTGTGAGATTGAGTTTTTGCCATAATCTCAGCTAAAACTGGTTTCAACAAAATATTAGTGTGTTGGCTTATTTTGACCAGAAAGCATACAATACACACAATACAATACATATGATGAGACAACATACCTTAGATACAATACACATAATGGGATACATATGATACGAACATATGATGGGATACATATTGCACATCACGTAATAAAAACAAGTATTGCACATATGTGCAATGTTGTGTAAATGTTATGGTTTCTTGTCTGAATTTGTTGCATTTTATTTACAGAGGTCATCCTCTCTTATCAGAGAATACTCATACATGCGATTTTTTAAATCCCTTTTGTGCCCCTTTGTCTCATCAAGGTGTGAAATAAAAGTCTGCTACAAGCCTGACAGCTCAGCTGACTGGCACCTGAGAAAATTACCGACCTCCGCTCAAATCCAGCCTCTCAACCCCACCTTCTGCTCCCTTTTGTGCCTGCCCATCGTCACCTTCAGTGGAGCTCTTCCCTGAGACCTTTCACCCCCGGGTGGAGTCGGCTCAAAGACACTTTTCAGCACCGTTAGTTCACATGTGAATATTGGTCGAACTGCAGAAGAAAAAGACGTGTGAGACTATCTTCTTGTTGTCTTGATGGTCTCAAATTCACATGGTGGTGGAAACCTGAGGACTTGCACACAGAAACTCCAGACATTTGCCTTCTGACCAGCGCCATCGACACATACAAAGAAGCTGCACAAAACCAAGACGGACTAAAACACTCTTGCTTGTATTTTCATTTTATTTATGAAAAGAACCTTTCAGGCTTCATTCTCTAGGTTTCAGCTCCTCTTTTTGTGTTTGCAGACCAAACTGACTGTAACCGCAACCCCGTTAGAATGTATGGGGGTGGATCGGGGGCAAGAATGCAGACATGGCACCACACAGACTAGAGACACAGTTTTAATGTGGGAGTCAGGGTCTTCCTATGTAAAATATCTCTTCATGTTTTTTTATGGAAACTAACTTGTATAAACCATTAAGGGTTTAGCCAAAGACTGGATTGAGAAACTGATTATTTGACGATATCTGAGAATGCACACTATAGATGTATCATATGTAAATGCAATTGTTTTTAGATATTTTATTTTATAGTGCAATTTTGTGTTTTATATCTATTATTTTCTTTGAAACGTTTTCTCACCACAATTTTTGTCTGCAATTATATATATGACCAGCAGGGGGCACTGTTGATTTTTCAGAATCTAAATCTGTCTTCACCTGTTGGATTTTTTATCTTAATTCCTGTAAAATGTGTTAAAAATAGATTTAAAAAAAGATGTAACTGGCTGTAAATTGCGTTTGGGTGTTCTTTGTAACTAATTATTCGCACTTTCAACAATGTAAAACAAAGTTTTTTTTAAATATTTTTTTAAAGGAATAATGTCCTGTTTACTTGATTAAGAATAAAGTTTGAAATCCAGCACGCTCATTCAGACCATTCATTAATGCCAACGATGAAACACTGGTTCATTTATCTTTCTTTTATAAATTAAATAAATGCATTTAAGCTATTAAATATCTTTTAACTGACTTGAATGAACCGACAGAAGTGCCGACCAATACAAGACACAATGAGCCTGTATCCCAAACTTTGACTTCATGCTCTGAACGGTTCCCTTCATAAGGCTTTTCCCATGGATCTGTTAATTGGAATGAAAAATTCCAACTCCTCACAAGACTAATCACCGATGTTCTAATTTCCAAGGCTTGCATTATTTGTACAAACACCCCAATGTGCTGCACATGTTAATCCTGGTTATTTCAGCTTCTGCTTTCTTATCTGGTGTGTGTGTGTGTGTGTGTGTGTGTGTGTGTGTGTGTGTGTGTGTGTGTGTGTGTGTGTGTGTGTGTTTCCAGTAGATGTGTCTTTGTTACAGGTTTATTTCCTGTTTTAGAATAACCCACTAAAAACTGCCCTGTTTTTGTAGTTATTTTTGTTCCCTTTCCTAATTTGGAAGTGACAGACAGGTTACCCAGCATTGGACTCTTAACTTTTTTTAATCAGACCCAACCAAAACGTCATCTCAGGTTGTGAAAAGGATATAAAATGCGTGTGCGTGATTTAAAAGACGCAATCCTTCATCTGACGATGGAATCAGGCGGAATGTTATAAAAATTACATTTTAAAACAATGATTTACCAAATAGATTTGCTATTTTAAATATCAATGAAAAGACGTGTGTGTGTGTGTGTGTGTGTGTGTGTGTGTGTGTGTGTGTGTGTGTGTGTGTGTGTGTGTGTGTGTGTGTGTGTGTGTGTGTGTGTGTGTGTGTGTGTGTGTGTGTGTGTGTGCAAACGTAGATAGTTATCCGTCTAAAGTTGATGTAGTTTCAACACGTGATGTGATTGGCTGCTGCCCCGGACAACCGGTGCTGATGTGGGCGAGGCCTGGATTTGCCGTGATCTGATTGGCTGTTCCGCAGATGGGCGTGGCCTGCACTGAGCGTTGTTTCAGAGGCAAATGAGAAGCGCGGTGTGTGACCGACAGACATCTGTTATTTAAACTTGGCGAATGGAGCTTTTTAATTCCCTTCACTTTAGGTAAGTGTTCCTAAACACAAATATATCCACCTTTAGAGACTTTAAGCTCTTTACTTTATGTTAAATCAAATATTCCCTCTTTATTGTGAACGGTGTAAGCTGCAGCCACCTGCTGCTGGTGTCAGAAACATGACAACTTACCCAGCATGTCCTGGTTTTCTTTTATGTCAGCTGAGACGTTTACCTTAACCCAACTTGTTTGTTTTTCCTGGTGTTTATGACAGTTGGGGTTGTTTAACCCTCAGAGATGCTATCTGGAGCACAGCCTACAGATAGGAGATGTTGTACACTTGACAGAAATACCATGGATTCCTCAGCCTGCAGCTAAAGGCATCCTTCACTTCCTTGTGTCAGGGTGGCACATAACAAGGGGAGTGTGTTTTTTTTCTCCCTGCTGAGATAATAGAGGTGTGATAACAGTGTGTGATCTCTGTGTTGTGTCTGTTTGGAGTTTGAGAACGAGGCTGGATCCCCCTGCTTCCTTGTTTTAGATCTGAGCTTCCTGGTACCGGTCTGGGATTGGGGGTTGTAGAGTAAATGAGTTGAATTAGACAGATCTACACGGCTGAGTATGCTACAGTGCTGTGAAACAGCATTCTTTTATATCAGACAAAGATAACCAAAGTAACAGCGAACAGTCTGATTAGGGTCAAAGGTCAGACATTCTCCTTCAGGATTTTCCAGCGGAGATTCCATCCAGGTCCAGTAGCACCAAAGCAGTCCCGGACCACCACACTACCACCACCATGTTTGACAGTTTGTCTATTGTTGTTTACTTAAAATGCAGTTGGTTTCCAGAAGTAGCAGAACAAATGCTTTCCGCAAAGCTTCTCTAACGCCAAAACAGCTTCAAACGTTTTGTGTTGGGATGAAAGAAAGAAAGAAAACAATCTTTATATAGCGCCTCTCAAGGCAAATGCTAAAACATCAATTCAGTTCAAGTTTATTTATAAAGCGCCAAATCACGACAAGAGTCGTCTCAAGGCACTTCACATAATAAACATTCCAATTCAGGACAGTTCATTAAGCCAATCAGAAAAATGTTTCCTATATAAGAAACCCAGCAAATTGCATCAAGTCACTGACTAGTGTCAGTGACTATACAGCAATCCTCATACTAAGCAAGCATGCAGCGACAGTGGAGAGGAAAACTCCCTTTTAACAGGAAGAAACCTCCAGAGGATCCTGGCTCAGTATAAGCAGCCATCCTCCATGACTCACTGGGGATGGAGAAGACAGAGCAGACACACACACACACACACACACACACACACACACACACACACACACACACACACACACATGCACACATGCACACATGCACGCAAGCGCGCACACACAACATATATACCAAGTAATGTTTCTATGGTTACAATTCAATGTCAAGGAAAGCAAAAAGTTTTTATCAGGAGAGGGAGAATGATTAAATGGTCAGCAACAATGTTCAAGACGATGACCCCCTCCATGAGGCCACCACAGCTCAGCAGAACATCATTGTAGCTTCTTCTGGGGAGAAAACACTTAGAGAAAAAATAAAGTTAACAGCTGAAATAGCAGGAAATAATACAGTTAAAGAGCAGACTGTAGAAGAAAGCAGTAGAGTGTGAAAAGTGGTCAGTGTGTCCTCCAGCAGTCTAAGCCTATAGCAGCATAACTACAGAGATAACTCTGGATAATCTATCCTATGTGTCACTAGCCTTGGCGTAAAATTAGATGCAGGATTTTCAATGGTACCACAGATAAACGCAGTTGTTAAATCAGGTTTCTTCCAACTGCGCCGTCTCGTCCGCCTCAAACCTGTTCTGAAATGTCCTCATTTGGAGTCGGTGATACACGCTTTTATTACTTCTTGCCTGGATTACGCGAACTCCCTGCTCATTGGCGCTCTTGTTTCAGCATTAAACCTGGATGCAGACAGTGCAAAATGCTGCAGCTAGGTTTCTAACCAACACGAACAGACGCGGTCACATTACCCCGGTTCTGTTGAGTCTACACTGGCTGCCTGTGACTTTCAGGGTGTGCTTCAAGATCCTATTATTGCCCTACAAGGCATTAAATGGCCTAGCACCCCCTACCTGTCAGAGCTGCTTGCACCCTATGTGCCAGTCGGTTCCCTAAGATCAGCTGACCGCTTGCTGCTCTATATTCCCAAAATGAACTACAAAGAAAGAGGAGAGCGGGCTTTTGTGTATGCTGCTCCTCATCTTTGGATTGCACTTCCTCTCACCATACGGGAGACTTCAACGGTCTCACTCAGTTTTATGATTTGGCTTTTGGACAGTGACCTGTTATGCTTAATTTTATTGTTTTGAGCTATTGCTTTTATCGTCAGTGCTCTTACTGTTGATTTGACGTTATTTATTCAATTGTTTTGAATTGTCTGTTCCTGACTTATTTTATTGAAATTTTTGACTGTGAGGCGCTTTGTTCAGCTGTCATGCTGTGTTTAAAAATGTGCTGTACAAATAAAATAAAAGGTACGGTGCATTGTAGTGTGGTGCAGTGCGATGCAGTACGTTATATTACGGTGCGGTACGGTATACGTTATGTCACGTTACATTACGGTGCGGTACGGTATGGTATGGTACGGTACGTTGTAGTGTGGTGCAGTGCAATGCAGTACGTTACGGTGCGGTACGGTATACGTTATGTCACGTTACATTACGGTGCGGTACGGTATGGTACGGTACGTTGTAGTGTGGTGCAGTGCGATGCAGTACGTTACGGTGCGGTACGGTATACGTTATGTCACGTTACATTACGGTGCGGTACGGTATGCGTT